TAAAACAGTGAGGATAATTTTGATCGAAAAATGTAGAAGTACAATTACTTGAGCATGGCATACAAGAAATTTGGGTAGAAAAAGTACATATTATCAATGGGTACATAACTCTCTCCCGAGTTTTCTGAAAAAGTTTGGGATTGACTTGGTACTTGCTCACCCCTAGATGATTGAATATTTATAGGTGAGTGGTAGAGGGCATGGTTATGGGAGGGAATGTATTATGGGGATGGAAATGGAAGGGAGTCAATTGTGAGTGATGATAGAGATGATTGAAGATGTATTTTAGGAAGAGTTGACTAAAGAGAGTAATATTGGAATGCATGAGTTCAACCATTTTTTGTACTGTTAGGTGTTGACTTACAAGTTTTGATAATTGACAAACACAAGTTACTCAAATTAAGAATGAAGTGCTATATTGACAAACACAAAGACATGAAGTGTCAAACCCCTTGAAATGTTCAAGAAGGAGCACATGATTTAATAAAGACCAAGACGCATAACGGTGCACCTTACGAAAGTGAAGAAGAAGATTCCCAAAGACTTTTAATTTATTTGAGTCTTAGGAAATATTGTAAAGATGACAAAAACACTCTTCACTCAAAATTAATTTTATTAGAGTAATCTAAAATTTATAGTTATTTTGGAGTTAGTTTAAAAATTCTTTTTTAACTGTTCAAAAATACTTTTATTGAGTCAGTTACAAAAGGTGTGTCAAAAATTTATCAAAATAATTATTTTGATATTAGAAAATATTTTTCATAAGCAAAAATATTTTATTCAAGTATTTTTAAACATCGTTTGGCACGCAAAATATTTTTAGGATTCAATTTTTACACCCCAAATTTCATTTAATTTTTCAAAATTAGTTTGAATATTTTTTTGAGGTGATTGGGAGCCTCATTCTTCCTGTGGACATGTTGGGAACAAGAGGATTTGGACAAAAATACTTCATCCCCGCACACATGTTTGTGTTCTTCTTGTCTGTGCATTATTTGTCGTTAAAATCGATTATACCTTTTTAAATAATCGATTACCATCTTCTTTGCGCATAAGAACAGCTCCCATGCCTCAATAATCGATTAAAATTTTACGAAATAATCGATTAGAAATTTTCATCAAGAAGAAATTTTGCTCAGACTGCATTAATCGATTACTTGCACTAAATTAATTGATTATTTTACTGCATTTTTTTAGCATTACTCTTTTTCTTGGACCAACGGATATATTCCTTCAACTCATATTTAAACATTGTTCCTTTGTCATATTTACCGACAAGAAACACTCCTTAAACACCCTATTTCGAGGTTATAATCCTCCACTTAATCCTTCATAAAATTATATATTTTGAGAGAAAACCATTTGTTTTCAAGAGAGTATTCTTGTCATCCATAGAGCTTAATCTTTTTTCCATTTCTACTCTTGTGTGAGTTTTGTTGTGAGGTCAAAGAAGGTTACTTTTCTTGTTGTACAAGACTTATGTAACTTAAGTCTTGTAGAGGGCACATCTACGACCGGTTGTGTTGGGACTTGTGGGATTCAAGTTCTCGTGTTGTAAACGGTTTGTCAAGAACCTGTTGAAGCTTGATAAGTAGTGGTAGCCTTGAGAGAGTCTCTCGGGGAACTAGACTAGCAATGGGGTGATGAACCAGTATACATCGTTGTATTCTTTGACTTCTCTCTTTTATTTTCGACGCGTACTCATTTATTTTTATTTACACACTCACGCAGTCACACCGCGAAAAACGATAAACGTTCTCAACAACTCTATTCACACCCCTCTAAAGTTGCACACATTGTCTAACAAGTAATGGAGTATTGGAGTAATATTGGGATTTATGGTAATTGAGACAATTATGGTAGTGGGATCGGTTGTTTCGTCAATCACGTAGCGCCCTTATTGACTTGTATCGCTAGCAGCTCGGTCGGTCCTTGACGCTTCATGCTCGTTCCTCAATGCAGGACGATCTCAAAACTTCTTTTAGGCAGGACATGAATTTGCTCTCGGGCCTCCCGCCCTAGATCCATTTTAAAAGCCCACTCATAGGCCTTCTGCCCTGGGTCCATTTTAAAGACCCACTATTGGGAGTTTATTCTCCATCAATGCTCATGGGCCTCCTGCCATCGATCCATTCCAAAGGTCCACTAAGGGGGAGTTTATTTTCCATCGAATATATTCCATAAAAAAAAATATTTTAGACCACTTTAAAAAACTAATATAACTTTTATATCTAAACACAATGTATCTTATCACATATCGAGTTAAAAATGTACAAACTTCTATCAAGAAAAGTTCAATGAGAAAATCTCTAACAAAAGGATAGGGTATTTTTTGGGATAGATGAAGTAATTTTTATCCATTTTTGTTAATCATTTCTTCTTGTCACCTCTTATGTCATATAGAGTAGAAATTTTAAAATTAATAAATTTATTTTTAAAAATCACATCAATTTTTAAATATGTTCAACTAAAATAATTTTAATTAAACATCATTAATGTAACTCAAAATTTATTTAAGTACAAATGACTTCTCTTGTTTAGAGTTCCAAGGAAACTCCATTTCTTTAAAATCATTTTATTTTACAAATTTATATTGAAATAAAAAAATTAACTTATATTGAAACACTACCATAACCAATACTACCAGAAGTAATATTAGTTGTATAAAACTAATATTACTCCTGCTAGTATTAGTTATGGTACTGTTTTATTATTAGTAAGCTTCCTAATCCTATTTGTAGTAGATGTTGTATGTTAGTTAGTTTCCATTCTCTATTCCTAGTTGTGTTAGAAATCTCTCCTATATATACTCTATCATGTATTTCATAATTAAAAGAGCAATATTATTATTCCAATATTTCAACATGGTATCAGAGCCACCGCTCTTGGTGACATAAAAAAAGTTTTTTGCTCCCACCGCCGCCGCCGGTAATTCCGGTGACGGCGGCTCCACCCTATTCACCTCTATTTTCTTTTTCTTCTCTATCCTCAAATCAACTTCTCCATTCAAATGAAAAAAAAGAAAAAAGACACATGTTGAAATCACACAAAAAAAACTATCAAAGGAGGAACTTCTCTCTTGTTATCTCCATGGTTCTTCAAAAAAAACTCAACTCCTCACAAACTCTCTCAGATCATCCTATCTTCTCAAAAAAAAAATTGTTGTTTCTCTCCAATTCACCATATCAAAATCTCAGACCCAAATTTTTTTTTCCATCTCCAATTCTTAACCTACTTTTTCTCTCTAAAATCACTCATTCTAATCATCAACCTCCATTCTCTTTCTCTTCTGTTGAACCAATAAAAATCCAAAGTAAATCAGCACAAAAGCAAAGCCAAGAGGGAAAGTAGTGAAAGAGGAAATAAGATCTCTACAACTCACCCCTCCAAAAAAGAAATAGGGCATTGCCCGGATCCAAGAAAAAGATGTCAAGGATCTTCAGTCAAACAGGCAACTCCAGTAGCCTTCTCTATTTTTTTTCGACGTCAGCAGCTACAAGCGCACACCAACCTTCTCTCTTCTTCATCGACGTCAGCAACTACTAGCGCACGTCAATTTCTCTCTTCTCCAACGTCGTTAGGAGCTACCAGTGCACGTCAAACTTCTCTCTTCTCCAACGACGTGAGCAGCCACCGGCGCATGTCAAACTTCTCTCTTCTCAAAGTTTCCAGTTTCCAGCTAGTGTCCAAGCTTTCTCTTGCTTCAGCCAGAGTTCAGCTTGAGGGGGGATGTTAGACAATAAAACTAATATTACTCCTGGTAGTATTAGTTATGGTATTGTTTCATTATTAGTCAGCTTCCTAATCCTATTTGTAGTAGATGTTGTATGTTAGTTAGTTTCCATTCTCTATTCCTAGTTGTGTTAGGAATCTCTCCTATATATACTCTATCATGTATTTCATAATTAAAAGAGCAATATTATTATTTCAATATTCCAACAGTTTTCTTAAATAAAAAAGTAAAAACCTTTTTTTAATAAGGAAGAAAATAAGAAATAAATTAAGACAAAAATAAAAATGAATATCCTTTTTGCAAATCCCAATTCTAAAGATTTTTTTAGGATTTATGATTTTTTTGTATAAGACTCTTTTTTTCATGTTCCATTTTTTTCATATCATTTTTCCATATTTTTTATTTATATTTTTTGTTCTAGATTTTCTGTTTTAAGTTACCAAAAAACTTATCCTAAAAACTAAAATTTAAAATGTTTAATTTGAGATAGATGGAATATATGTTAATTTTTTAATTTTTATTTTTGTGTCAAACTCAAAGAAACTTGATTTTTTTAAAACACTATACTAAATTGAAAAGAAATTTTAAAAAAATTTTCTTGGAAAAGAAAACAAAAAGATAAAGAAAGTTAAAAAAAGAGAAAAAAACAAATGGTAAACGAAACAAAATAAATGAACACGAGTGCCCCTTATGGTTTAAAAATTAGATTTCAATTTCCTCTCATCGCTGAAAATAGACCAAAAAATGGTCACAGGAGTATAAATGTAACGTTTTGAAACAACGAAAACTCTAGAAATAAATTTTGAAGATAGAGGAAGTATTGTTGCAAATTTTCTAAATGACAAATGGCGCTGAAGTAATTTCACATAAAAAATACCTAAAATTTACTTTTTTGTGAATAATAAATACTTCCTTCGTCCCAATTTATTTGCAACATTTCGAACGACGTGTAAAATATAATCTCTTTTAAAATTACTTTAATTTCAAATTGGTAGAGTAATAAAAAGTAAAAATTACACCATTTAAAAGTATATGAAAAGCTCTACAAAACAAGATGCGACAAGAATATTTTATTCTATCAAATGGTCAACCAAAACGAGTAAACAAACAAAAGTTATCTAGAGGCCAGAATAGTAAACGTGACATTTTTTGTGGGACGAAGGAAGTATACGATTTGATGCTCGAGAGTACAATCATTTCAAGTTTGATTTGATTGTTCGTACAAGGTATCATTTTAGTCGGAAAATACAACGAGTAACGGAACACGAAACCGCAAATTTCTGTTTTAGCCTTTTAGGTGACAGCTCCCGGCGAGTGTTGACCAATCGAGACAAGTAGTGCCACGTAGGCACCCTCTTCTTTAAATATGCTCCCGACCTTTGACTTATCCAGTCCAATTCTCTAGAGTTTACTTGCAGACAACATAAACAAAAAGAAAGAAAAGAAGTCTCGGCAATGCAGAATCTAACGGCGAGGCGACTCGATCAGGGAATCTCCGGCGAACAAAATCAGCACGCGCCGCCACCGCTCACCTTCGAGCAGGAGTGCGCCGTCGTGGTCTCTGCCTTGAAGAATGTCATCATCAACGGAAATTACAGCATTTGCTCGTCTTCATTATTATCTCCTCCGGCGTTCTCCGCCGCCGGAGAAACAGAGACCCCTCTGCCGGCAGGGGAACCGCTGCTGAGCATACCGGAAGGTTACACGTGTGGGGTTTGTATGATATCCGGCTGCTTGGGCTGCAACTTCTTCGGAGAGCCAAGTGACAGTTCCCCGAAGAAAAAGAAGACGGAGAAGAAGAAGAAGAAGAAGAGTTTCAGGGGAGTGAGACAGAGGCCGCAGGGGAAGTGGGTGGTGGAGATATGGGACCCGCGAAGGTTGGGTAAAGTGTGGCTCGGAACATTCAAGACCGCAGAGGAGGCTGCTCGAGCTTACGATCGAGCAGCCATCGAGTTCCGGGTCCCACAGATCAAGCTCAACTATGCGTTCACGGATTATATGACGACAAGCTCCCATCCAGTCCAGCCGGCGCAGTCATTGCATGAAGAAAACAATAACAATGTTGGGAAGATGGAGGTGGGGAAGAGTGCAAATGAAGAAGATGAAGTGTTTGAGTTGGGGGATGAAGAAATGGAAGAATGCTTGAGGACAATGGCTCTTCTTAGCTAGTAGCTAGTCCTTAATTACAAATAAATTACTCCATACGTATGTGATGGATTTTTGCTATTTCGGGGCACCTACCCGATGAACTCGGCATCGTATTCATATAAAATTTGAGAATTAAATTATGAATCAAATAAAGAAAATATTTTTAAGTAGAATTGGCCCACCAAATCAGGGGAAAAAAATAATCGGACTTTTAGGCAATACCTTTTAGGTTAGGTATTGTTAGCCATGTGTCATGGCAAAACTCGAGAAAACTTGATTGATTACAATTGACAAAGAGGTATGATGTGAAATGTAAGATATGAAATGATAAATTTATGCTCTCTAAATAGGACCAATCCTCTTTATTCTAACGTTTGGCAATAGAGTATTCTAAAATACTCGCCTTTGAAAAAAATAAGATACTACACAACTCAAGTAGAATAAGATATACTCAACTAGATTACAATTTTTTTTCTCTCCTCTCGATAATTTTTATTTGTTTACGCGATTTCATTAGGTATTTGATAAAATAAAATATTTTTGTCACCTCTTGTTTTGTAGAACTTTTGACGAAGTTTTTTATTATATAATTTTTATTTCTTAGCGATATGCCGATTTGTAAATAAAATAATTTTAAAAAGTGAGATATTTTTCTCCATAAACCGCAATTTGTAATCAAATTGGAGACGGATGGAGTAAATAATTTAAATAATCATTGAAATAATCATTCATTATTCAACACTTGTTGCTAACAATCACATTTGTAGAGTCCTTCATTATGCACGACTTTTTAATTTGCTAATGAGGCATATGTGGCATATCATACGAAAATATATTTCATAATATGAATAAAACATACTTGGTCCTATTGAAGAAAAATGTAATACGGAGTAAGAAATTTTTTTTATAAAAAATATATGTGTGGTATGATAGGTGTGAAGGATACGAATGAAGTGCAAAAGTCTAAAAAGCCTTCATGCGGCCTTCCATGTCGCAATGCAGTGATGGAAGTCACCCCCATGGGGTCACGCTCTCGTTACAGGAAAGTTAGCACGACATTTGGGGTGTCGGCCTGCAATCGTGCTTCATAAAATATTAATGTCACACAGATTATTGAAAAGTAAAAATACGGGCATACAAACTACTCTTAAAAATAAAATAATATTTTTATAAATTTATTTAAATTTATAGAATATCTGCCCGAAAATTACGATAAATTGATAATTAAAACTAAAAAGAGAATGGGTACAATTGTTCAAATGAAGTGGAGGGAGAATATGGACCTAAGTGCATCCCCAATAGTAATCTGAACATAGTCTAACCGAGAGTTAGAAGATTCCCTTATCCAGACAAAAGTGAGGAAAATATGAAATTGAGTCTTTGAATTCTCATACTCACTCCCAAGTCACGCAATAAATAAATATTTATAATTACTTTTGAAAATTAAGGATCGTTTGCTGAAATGTGATAACATATTTTTTTCCAAATATAGTTTTTGAAGGATCAATTATGGAATAAATTTCAAAAACTGGGCATCATTTATATAATATCTTAGAATTCTGAACTAAATATGAAAAACCACATGTAAATATGAATCATTTACCTTATTAAAAAGGCACGTCACAAGTTCTAGAAATCAAGAAATGAGATGAATACTTTCTTTTATCGAATAACGAATGAAACTATATAAATAAAAAAAATTATTGAAAAAAAACTGTAAGATATTCGGTATGTATTACGGGAGGGAGAGACTAATGGGCTTATTTGAGCCCGAAAGAATTATATGGCCCAAACTTTGGGTAGGTCTCTGAACATTTCATCACCCACTTCGTACCCAAAACCCTAACCCCATAAATTGTTCCATAGGAGCCATTTTCGCCCTAGAAATTCCGACTTTCAGAATCCGCCCGCAGCCAAGGTGAACAGGTAAACATGGCGACGACGGCGGTAGATTCCGTCCAATGCTTCGGGCGTAAGAAGACGGCGGTTGCCGTCACCCACTGCAAGCGCGGCCGCGGACTCATCAAGATCAACGGCGTCCCGATCGAGCTGATCCAGCCGGAGATCCTCCGCTTCAAGGCCTGCGAGCCGATCCTCCTCTTGGGCCGCCATAGATTTGCCGGCGTGGACATGCGCATCCGCGTCAAGGGAGGCGGTCACACCTCTCAGATCTACGCCATCCGTCAATCCATCGCCAAGGCCCTCGTAGCCTACCACCAGAAGTACGTGGATGAGCAATCGAAGAAGGAGATCAAGGACATCCTTGTTCGCTATGACCGGACCTTGCTCGTCGCCGATCCAAGGCGCTGCGAGCCGAAGAAGTTCGGCGGTCGTGGCGCTCGCGCCAGGTTCCAGAAATCGTACCGTTAATTTCCGATCTGGATTCACTTCTCCTCAAACCCTATATGGCTGTGTCATCTCTTTCAGTAAGCCGTCTGTTAAAGTTTTGATTTCTCTGTTCTAAAAAACTTGGTATGTTTTACTACTCAGTTTTCAGTACACTCTCCTTGCTTATTATCGTGCTGGTAATTGACAATTGTTGAACCGTTTTTTGGTATTAGAAACTTTTCATGTGCTTTAATTTTGTGTTCGTTCTCAAAATTGTGATACATTTGCTTTGTACCTATCTGGTGTCTTCATTAGCTTCTTCCATTACCAACTGTGTGCTTCCTACAATGGTAGGAAAATGGAAGAGTTTTCCAACCAAACCTACCCTATGTCAAAGAGCATTTGGTGTTTAATTGATGGCATAGAAATGTCTTGAAGATCTAAATGATGGTCTAATTGGGTATAAAATGTCACTTAGTTAACAAACGTTGGACTATAGAAGCATTTGTGACAAAGGTGTTAACAAATGTTCGACTTATGGAAGCATTTGTGACAAATGCTTCATCCTCTTTGGCATTGCTATGATATGTGGTTCCAATTTTGAAATGTCTTGGTACAATTTGAACAAATAATGGAATGGTATGACTTCATTGTACCTAAATGTCTTGGACTGTGTTCCCCTCTTACTTTATTTGTTTATGGGGAATTCTTTGTAGTCCAAACAATTATCCTCTCCCACAATTGATTTTTTTACAAATCTTAAATTAGCTATCTATGAACTTGAAAGACTATTGTGAAGCTGAATTTCTTCCTAGAAATATGTCACATTTTTAAATTTTGTTTCTTTAGTGTTCACTAAACACAGCTATGACTATTTGTTTTAGTGGTATGTCTGTATGTGTTAAATGATTGTCAAAGCCATTCTAGCAGTTTGAAATTAACCTAAAACATAACACATGCTTGCCTTTATCATACGTATTTACTAAAAAAGATATGTTACCTAAGTGGGTATCTTTCCATTCTCATTTCTTATGTAGGTTTGATGGATTAGTTTTGGCCAAATATCTTCTAAGAGTTGGGCAATGTCCAAAAACCAAAAGTAGCAATTCGAAAGTATCTAAAACAGAAATGAATAGTTGGAGTTTAAAGTTTAGAGTCAAAATTGTATTTCATTATGCTAATATGTAATACAAATTGAGAATAATTGGAGTTTCAAGTTTTGAGTCAAATTAGACAAATACTTTGGGACGGAGGTAGTGTAATTTGTTTCATTGTTATATCTTGGAAAAGTAAAAGAAATTTTTGTTATATTCTTTTGGTTCCCATGACATTGATTCTCAATGTCATGTGATGACTCAGGGGTGTTCTAATGTCATGTTTCTAAAATTGATGATACCTATCCCAAACCCCCTTTGGTAAACCCCAACCACAACACACCCTTAGCCCATTCAATTGCATCTTCAAGTTAATCTTTGTTATATTATTTTATTGAATGAGTTAAGTAGCCAAAGAGAGTAAACAAATGAACTTGCATTGTAATTTTGTTGTCATAAGATTTTGATTTTAAAAAATAAAACTTAATAGGACATTGTGTAGGTAGGATATTTTTAATTTAGATTAATATTCTAACTAATTTTTTAATGATAAAATTTTTTTTCACACTATGTTTGGTTTAAGAAATTTTAAAGAGAAGAAAAGAAAATGAGGTGGAAAATATTTTTTTTGCTTGGTTAGAGGGAAAAAGAAAGTAAAAATGGAAGAAAAACTAAATTCTTCCCATTTTGATAAGGAGAATGAGAAAAATATTTTGTTTTCTTTTCCTTCTAAATTCTTTGAACAAAACATAGTGTTAAGCTCTAAAACTAAGACTTTGCCAACAATGTTAGTGTTTAGTGTTGGTATTTTTGTTTTTCTTTTAGGATGTGTATTAATCTCAAGCCCTTTTGATCAATTTTTTATGAGTAAAAGAATTTAATGTTCAATCATCAATGTGAAGTAAGTTTACATAAATTAGCCTTAACGATCTGCAATGAGTCCTTAGACCTTCCCACATCTGATATGGCATGAAACACAACATGATAAGTTTTTGCGCTCATTTAGTATTTCGCCCACGACAAACACTATGGGGCTTTTTTGTACCCATATCCTTTCACTCCGCTATGAGTATTTTTCTACATTTGACTTTTTTTTCATTAAAATTGAAAAATTTTGAACTAAAATTAAATAAAAGTGGTATTACATATTGATGCGAAAATAATTTTATTAGATTCATTTTCCAAAATATTTGCAAAATATTGTTTTATATAATTAGTAAATAATAAATATTTTATTTAATTATAGATCAAAGATTGAAATACCATAGTTGATTATAAAATAATCAAAACTAGACAAATATTCAAAGAAGAAGGTAGTATATAATGATACGAAGTTATAATTAACTTGAACCTACAATGAGATTTCATATAATGTTGGCAATATATATATATATGCTACAATCAGATGTATGATATTTCTCGTACATTAATAGTGAATACTCATTTTGTTTTTAGTTGTATATGCATTTTTATGTTATTTAAAAAGGTATTGTGTTACACGTACATTTACAGTACTATGTAGTTTTCAAAGTAATAATATACATATACTTTGCATTTTGAAATGTTCATGTTTTGAATATAAACTAAAATGCATTCATTTTTATTTTAGTTAAAATCAGTATTGTATTATTCATAGATGTACAATGTACATTCTATATAAATGTAATACTCCCCCGTCCCTAAATATTTGCCACATTTGTATTCTCGAGATAAAATATCAAGTTTTTTCAATTCATTTTATTTACATATTGGTATAGAAATAAAAAAATAAAATTTACATATCAAAAAACTATATGAAAGTTCTTCGAAATAAGGT